TGATTCAAATAGTTGTAAATAAAATCCTAATTCCAAATTGAAAGTTATCTTTAGAATTTAAATATCTTATTTATAATTAAAACTCTTGAATTTATAACTGTCTGAACATATATTTACATTTAATTTTACAAAAAAAATTGTTGAGGATCTAACTATCAAAATTTATTATTTTGGGACTTTAACGTCATTATCCTTCACAGGAAGGATTATTTTCGTAATAGAAATTAAAAACACCTGGTTAAAGTAAATCTTTTTTGACATGGTATTTTTTAATAAAAAAAATCTCAAAAACCATTTCATCCGACATAGTCTTGATTTCAATTTTTTTTAAAAAATATTATATTAAAGTAAAAAGATTAAAGTACAATAACAGTGTGAGAGGACCAAGACCAGAAACTAAAAGTCGAAAAGAAATAATAATCATGCAATTGTTGGAAATATATAGCGTAAGTTAATGGCTTAATAGAAAATAAGGAAAATAAATGTAAATTTCATGAACTGTGATTCCTTCGGGAAAAAAATTGGTGAAAAGAACAATAAAATTATAAGGCAAAAATGGGGGGAAAAGTTTATCTGTCCATATGATATATATTTCTGTGTTATTCTTTATAACAGGAACAACTTATGAGGGGGAAAATTAAATCTCATAAATAGTGATGCATCCAAAATTGAAGAGAAGAAATTATGCAAGGAACAATAAGATTATTAATAAAAGAAGAAGAAAAAAAACATATCCCAATTAGTGTTACTCATAGTTCCTCCAAATCATGAACCAGTGGAAAACAAAATCAAGAAAAAAAATAATAATGAAGTCCCAGTCAAAATTTTCATACTGTTACAAAACAAAACCAAAATTTATATGAACCAAAAGCCCTTCATTATTAGATATTTAAATTTTAGATTTTCATTTGCTCTATTTTACTATTTTAGCTCTATTATTTAGAAAGCATTATTTAATTATGGTTTCAAGTTTATGAATTTTTTTTCCTAATCAAGCCAATGAAAATCTTATTCTTAAATGAATACAACCATTACAACATATCGTAAAACAAAGAAAAAATATTTTCCTAATTGAAATCAAAACAAGTACTCCCTCCGTTAAAAAATATAAGGCATTGTTAATCTTTTGAAGTGTAATTATTGTCTTTTTTTTTTCAAAAATGTCTCTATTAATGAATAACTTTATATTTATTAATAAAGATAAATATAAAAAGATAGGATTAGTTTAAAAGTAAATAACTACTTTATTAAGGTGAAATTTAGTTAAAAATATTTTATATTTTTAAACGGAGGGAGTATCATATTTCATAAGGAGGAAACAAATTAAACTTCAAAAAATAGGTCCTGTCAGCTTTACTAGTTATAAAGTCTTTCTTCCTTTGTAAGTTTTCTCGAAAACCAATCCATTTAGCATAGGTGACATCAAGAAAATAATAGTGAACCAGATCTTTGAGCCAAAAAAAAAAAAAAGAATGCAAAGGCCTGTTTCGTTTCTGTTTTAAAAAAATTTTGTTGTTTTAAAAATAAAAAATTTAAAATTCATTTAAATAAGTATTTTAAATTTAATTATTTTAAAATTGTTCTCATTTTTTAAAAAAATAGAGACATTAAGTTGTTTTTATTTTTTTTTTCTTATTTCAGGACATATGACATTTGATTATTGAAAAAATATGGATCGCTTAATCAAATTCTATCATAAAAATCACTATTAATTGCCTACAACTATCAATATCCACTTATTTTTTAATTCTAAAAATATTTTTAAATTAATATAACCAAAACAGACTTTTATTTTGTTTTGTTTTTAAAAACAATTCTAAAAACTATATTACAAAATAGTTTCTAAATAATAAAAAAATAGAAATAGAAACCAAACAAAACCCTAAATAATCTAAATTGGTGCTACATACTGTATTTTCTTCCAAAACTTGAACAATATCTTGATTGAGCCATAATCTGGTGCGTTTTTTCTGGCTTGTTTGGCGATTCTTGATGAACAATTGTCTTCCATATCTTGTATTAAATCGTGCATCCAGATATGATCAACCTCAATCTTAATGAGGCATTTGTCTTCCAACAGACTAATACTGTAGTCTGGATCAAGATCGTGAAACACGTCCCTCCATTTCTTTGACATAATTCAATGATCTTCCTTTGAAGAGTTCATTGAAGAAGCAAGCAATATCAAGAAAAATTCTTTTTCAGCTGGCCCTAAGCCATCATAGCTTACTTTCAATATTTGATGAATGTTTTTATCATGAATTCTTTTATACAAATTTAATGCAGAATCCCACTCCTTATTGTCTTACCTTTCAAGTTAGAGCCAATAACTTCTAGTGCTAAGGGAAGACCTTGCACATATCGCATCACCTTTTCCACAACTTCCTTGCAACTTGCATGAACTTGCTTGCTTCCAAAGGCTTTCAAAGTTAATAATTCAAGAGATTCTTCATCATTCAATGCCTTCATCTCATATTGTCTCTTGACTCCATGGTTTGCAAGTAAATGCTTATCCCTTGTCATAATAATAATCCTACTACCAGCACCAAACCAATCACAATTACCAGCTAATTTTTTCAATTGCTTGTCCCCATCAACATTATCAAGAATCAAAAGGATTTTTTTTTTTTCGTTTGAACCTCTTTTTTATAATTGCAACTCCTTTGTTTACATCTTCAATTTTCATCTCTACCCCTAAAATCTGTGAAAGCATTTTCTCTTGCATTCTTTCTAAGCTACTTGAGTTGCCTTTAATATCATGGAGAAAACACAGACCTTTAAAATCATTTGCTAATGAGTTATACATGACACGTGCTATAGTTGTTTTACCTATCCCCCAAATTCCATAAATTCCAAACATGATGACCTCTTTATTTGATCCAAGTTGTAATTGAGATTTTACTGTTGAAATCTATGGTCTATTCCAACAAGATTATCATCGACATGTAACAAGAGACTACTATTGATTGTGATAGAGATTTCTTTCACAATCTCTTCAATTATCTCACATTCATATCGACCATGACAAATTATAGAGAGAGAGAGAGAAATCACAAATAAATCCATGTTTGCTATGCAAGTAATTCATAATAATTTCTTATAATCTAATATGAAGCTATGTAAAAAGAAAAATCAAAGATCAATGGTGCAAATTACCTAGGTATGAAATGTTTGCCAGAGATATTTGCCACATCATGTAGTGCAAGCTTCCAATTTTGCATCTTGTTCTCATCAGCTCTGTTTTTAATTTTTTGTTCGTCTAAAGCTCGTGCATAGTTTCCTTTTGATGTCGCATTCTGATGGCTCCACATCATAAAATATTGGCCAAATTCGTCGTCCATCTCTCTTAAAACTATCTCTCTTAGAA